TTTTTTTTTTTTCCTTTTTCTTTGTCTCTTTTGTTATGCTCGAGAGAAGAGCTGACAGACTTTGTTTCGAACTCTGTTTCGAAATATTCCAAAGTGAACCCTCCACGCTTCAAGATGAGCCCCCGTTGATCGTTTTACGTAATGTCTTTTTTCAGTATGCTGTAGATTTTAATGACTCACTATTTCTAGCAATTTTTGACATGTAGAATTTGCTCGTAGAACTGTAGAACCTTGAGTGCCTTCATGTTAATTGAATTAGATGTTAAAACAGGAAATATGATTATACAGAGATTCTCGTGAGAAACGGTGTTAAACATCGTTACCTAGAAAATATTTTGCAAACAATTCGCACATAGCGAGTCAACATCAGTGGAATATAAGGTCTGTCTTGATATCTTTTGAAAAGTACTCGGCTGATTTATTCAGAGTAGCAGTCAAACTTGGATGAATCGGGGATGCTGAATCACGAAACACGAATTCCTTCCGAACGATTAGGTCTGAGATATGACTCACTGAGGTGCTCTCTTCGGGAACGCTTCGATTTAACTAATTTTCTGCTTCCGCGAAGGTTAATTTATCATCCCGTTTCATCAACATTTGTCACGACAATTCGCCAAATATTTCATATCTCGCGGGAATCATCTGGCATTGTGCCAGCGATCTGTGAAGAATGTGCATCGACAGCGTGAATTATGCAACTTAAAATAATTCTGACCTTGTCAAACTGTTCCTCTTCCAAATCCATCTTCGTGTCTGTCTGATGGGCAAAAGAAAGTTAAAAATTGTACACGCATTTAAATGAAATATATCATGACTTGAGTCTTATAGAATTATATTATATATTATATCTCCTATTAACATTTCACTAAATATTCTATAATTATGGACTTATATCTTGAGCCATTTTCCTTTCAGCGAGTTTCAATCAATTTGATAATTGAAATCAATTCCAAAATGCATAATCGACGATTAAAGAATATTTTTCGTTCTTTCTTGTTCATACAGATTCAACGAGGCACAGTTGACTAGTACTTAAAGCAATGGACGATGAGGTGATTGGTGGAGGCCAGAATAACAAGAGATCAGCAATGACCCTAAACGTTAGTGGATTGTGGGACGTGGTCCCGCGTTTGGACCATTACAGGTGTGTAAACGTTGGCAAACGTAAATGTTGTTAAGATAAAGTCTGGATTTCTGAATTTCTGTTCCCTCGAGGAGACGAAGGGAAAGGATCATGACTCTGCATGTAAAAATAAATCTCTCTGAAGTAAATAACCGTGCACTTAGAAATCGGAGTTGAAAGGAGGGGGGGGGGAGACGTACGAAATGATCACCATCAGCAAACAAAATGTCAGTCATTGCAAGGAGGAAGCACGAACACCGTGTAAAACATTACATCTTCATGTTATGAACATTGTTATTGTAACATTGAACACCTTCGTAGCAATTTGAGCATTTATTATAATTGAAATTGACCATACAGATAGTTTAATATTGCACAGACAAATGTATGTTTACCTTTTGCACGTTGTTTATGCTTCTTTTGTAGTTGCACGCATGACTGACATTCTGTTTGCCGGAGGCAACCATTTTCGTGCAATTTCATGGAAATAAAACAAGCTTTCATTAGTGACATTTCCTCCCTTGATTAAGACGAGATTTCGAGAGCCAAGGTCATGTTAAAGTTACGTTCACGCGTGATAAATTGAATGAGTCCGTCTCGATGCGATATGAGAGATCGAAACACATAGTATTGTTTAGAAATGTTCAATTGTTACCTTGAGAATTTTCAGAAAAAAAAAAAATTTTGACTTTATTCTGAACATCTGTTTGTAATTCTTGAAATTAATTTTGAAGATCTTTTTGATTCGTTCAACATTTTTTCTCTGAAAAATCGTCCACCATGTATATTAATTTTTAGCAACTTGTTGAAATAGTATATATTAGATATAGTATATATAGTATATATTACATACACATATTAGAATGTGCGTGATTTAATTTTCATTTCTCGAAGTAACAAGTTAACATACAAATCTTTGTCGTCCGCAGAAAGTTAAAAAAAAACAAATTGGTCTTGTATTTTCCAATTTCTATGTCCAGAATCACTAATTGAAGAAATTAATTAACTCACACGAATTTATATTGATTACGATAAAAACGTATACGCGTGATTCACAAGCTTAATTTCAAAACATAGGCCTGTTCAATTTTTCCAATTAACAATGTCAAATTGTTAAAGCACACGCGAGTGTATTTTGTCCGACAGGCGACGATTTATTGTAATTTCATCATTAACGTTAGCTCAGCGAGAAGCATTTAGCAATCGCGTGTATTTTTTTTCTTTCTTTCTCTCTTTCTTTCCCCATTCTGTTTCGTGTCGATGAAGTTGATGATTTTCCGATGCTACGTGCATACTCGCGAAATAGAAACGGTTCTCTGTATCGGTCAGGGGACGTATTTCCTATCTAATTAGCCATTTCTTGCAACGGTATTTAAAAGCCCGTTTCCTCCAAGAACGAGGAAACAATTTGCTCTTCTTTTTTTTTTTAAAAATAATAAAAATAAAATTGCTCACTTTGGTCGCTTTAACTGCTCCTTTTCTAGATAAGAAGAGTTATTAGATACGTTAACTCGCAGTTTTCAAGGATTCTTCTGCCATTATTGTATCGATAATTTTTTATGCGATTTAGAAATTTGTTTCACCCGTTGAAAAGTTATAATGTAACTTTGGAAATTTTATATACATTCTTGTACAAATTGGATTCACTCCAGTCGACAAGTAAGTCTTAATCATGATATTTAAAAAAAATTAAAAATTTGCTTCCGATTTACAGTAGATACGAAATAAAATCGGCACGTGCATAAAACTTTTACAGATATTACGGATATTCTGATATATAATGCAAATGATATGTCAAAAGTCTCTCATCAGAAAATTAATCCTTTCTATCGATCTTTATTAAAATAATTTTGATAAGTGTTTAATAATTCGTAAATATTTCTTTAATCTTGGGCATGATTTCCTTATTCTTCTTAGATTAACAAGGTCGTGTTTCATAATTTCGATTTATTAGTTAATTTGTTTATACATTTCTATAAATGTGTACTTATATGACATAATAT